CGCCCCCCGCCCCGCCCCGCAGGTCTGGAGCTCCGGCGTGTTCGAGTTGAAGCTGCAGGAGTTCGTCAACAAGAAGGGCTTGCTGGGGAACCGCAACTGCTGCCGCGGGGACGCGGGCCCGCCCTGCGCCTGCAGGACCTTCTTCCGCGTGTGCCTGAAGCACTACCAGGCCAGCGTGTCCCCCGAGCCGCCCTGCACCTACGGCAGCGCCGTCACCCCGGTGCTGGGCGTCGACTCCTTCAGCCTGCCCGACGGCGGCGCGGGCCCCGACGCCGCCTTCAGCAACCCCATCCGCTTCCCCTTCGGCTTCACCTGGCCCGTGAGTGAGCACCTGGACCGGCGGGAGAGGGGGGCCCCCCAGGGGAGGCCTGCGGACCCCAGCGCACCCATCTCGCCCACGGCCGGGAGGGCTTTCATCTGGTTTGGTTGCACCCCCCCCCAGGTCCCCCCCCCCAGGTCCCATCCGGGAAGCCTGATGACAGCTGCCTCTTCCACCCCCCATCCCACCCCACTGGGCTCCAGCCCTTCCCCCCATGTATAATATCCTGTACTAACGGGCTGAGGAAACACATCAGGAAACCACTCTTTAAGTCCTTCCATTTCCACAAGGAAAGTGAGAGTGGGTGACGCCCTTCCCTTCTGCCAGACAAAGATGGGCCCCAGGCTCTGTTCCTGACCGCTGGTCCTGAATGCTTCTGATCCCTTGCTGTCCTTCCAGGGCACCTTCTCTCTGATTATTGAAGCCCTCCACACAGATTCTCCAGACGACCTGGCAACAGGTAAACACAGAGCACCAACCCCACAGGGTGCAAGCTGTAGAAGCTGCCTTTCCTACCTACTGTGCTGCCCCCCCACCACTGGATGTCTTTTATTCTGCTCATGCCCCCAGAGTAGAGGATTTTTGGTCTCTTTCCCATGTCAACCACATCCTGCCACCAGCTAGTCCTCCACTAAGTTCCCAGCCTCTGGGCTAGGTCAGAACCAACCAGAGCATCTTCTCTCCCAGAAAATCCAGAAAGACTCATCAGCCGCCTAGCCACACAGAGGCATCTGACAGTGGGTGAGGAGTGGTCTCAGGACTTACACAGCAGTGGCCGGACAGACCTCAAGTATTCCTACCGCTTTGTGTGTGACGAACATTACTACGGGGAAGGCTGTTCTGTGTTCTGCCGCCCCAGAGATGACGCCTTTGGCCACTTCACCTGCGGAGAGAGAGGGGAGAAGGTGTGCAACCCCGGCTGGAAAGGCCAGTACTGCACCGAACGTGAGTCCTGGGGAGCCACCTCCGGGGGGTACTTCTGGGGAGGGCGTTCTTGAGCCCACTGGATCACTGGGTTTAGCATGGAGGCAACGGAAGAGGTGTTGTGGTAGGGAAACAGAGCAAAAGCGCCTTCTGAGGACTTAAGCCAGCCTGTAGCACAGTCAAGGTCAACTCAGGCTTTTAACAACCAAGACTGTTTATCCATTCTAGGAAGCTGCCTTTCTTCATCAGGGAGGAGTTCAGAGACCAGGCCAGGGGTCAGGAAGTAAGGCTGTGTTCCCCTCAGGGTGTGTGCACTGGAGAGGGAGGGGAGGAAGGAAGGGAGGAACTGAGAGGGAGGGAGTATGTTTGGGGACCTGCTTCCAACAGAGTTAGTTCTTGCTCTGACAGCATTTCATCAGAAGGGCTCCCGGGCTCCCTTTTCTTCCTGGGGTTGATACCAGCCCACAGAGAAAGCCTTTTTCCAAGCTTCCCTGTGAGACATAGTATTTAGCTGTCCTCAGGGGAAGTCCTCATTCCTATGACTGTGGACAGCTGGAGAAATGATGAGATTGACCTGCAAGGCTGCATGGGTGAGGGGTGCACATGCCCTGTCTTGTCAGCGTGCTCACCACACGCTGCCTGCAAAGAAAGGTAGTTACTGAAGCCCAGAGTGCCCTAGGTGCAGGGGTGTCAGGGCCTTGGAGTGCTGGGGGCTGCTTTGCCTCCCTCCCCAGCCTTCTGAGCCTCATCTGCAGTCAGTCAGGGCATTTCCCTGAGGTCAAGGGTTGTGAACTTTGACTCTGAGGCTTAGAACCTCAGCAGGGGCTTGGGAGAGAAGGGGTCCACTTCTTACCTTTAGTTTGTGTCTGGGTGTCACCGTTGCTCTCTTCAAGGGCTCTGGAGCTCCTTTGAAGCCCTGCCTTGGCCTGAGTTGGATTTGTTTTCTTAGGAACGGGAGGTGCTGCGAATGAATGAATTTCCTAACGGGGGAAGTAGGCTAGCTAGTCCTCTGGTACCTGCAGCTTCTGGGGCTTCTTCTACCTTAGCTTTCTTCTCTCTCACGGTTCTGAGTAGTCGGCAACCTAAACTTTTTTCTTATTCAAACACTGGAGCCTTCCCTGCCCCCGCTAGCTCGTGCCATAGATTAGATCTGTGGGGATAGGCCAGAGGGACCCTGTCTGCTCCCATTGGCAGGAGTGTACACACATGCATGTGTGTGTCCTATGCACTCGCGCGTGCGCTCACCCCCCCCCCCCACGCTCACACTGGGGCTGTGGGAGGGGGGAGGGCACGGGCGGGGTGGCATTGTTGCGCTGGGGCAGCTGCGGGAGGAAGAGACAATGGAGCAGCTGTCCTGCCCTGCACCCTGCACACCAGCTGTCCACTCTTATCTGCACACACACTTTCTGGGATATTAAGAGGTGGAGCTTTGTGCATAGAATTGGGCAGTGGGGGAGGGGGGAAGACTTCTGACCCTCTCTTAGAAGAAAAGGAGATGGGGTGGGGGCAGAGGCTTCGGAGAACCCTTTTGTCCTGGAGCTACTGTGTTAAGAAGAATGCTCATCCTAGGACTGATTAAAGTCCAAAGCTACCAGCCAGCGTGGGCCAGCACGCTGTAGCCTGGAATCTGCTCAGCTAGGACCCGCAGAGTGAAATCATCTCATTTTGGCCCTGAGACTGGGGCTTACCTGTGTGTTCTCTGCTTCCAGCCATCTGCCTGCCAGGGTGCGATGACCTGCACGGAGTCTGTGACAAGCCCGGGGAGTGCAAGTAAGTTTGCAGAGCTGTCTTGTTGTTGTCATCTATAACTTGTGTTTTTGAGAAAGGGTGTGCTGTGTAGCCCGGCCTGCCATGAATGCAACATGCAGCCTAGGCTGGCCTTGAACTTACCTCCCTCCTCAAGGGCTGGGATTTCAACATTTGATACCTACTATAACCAGCTCAGCCCTTCTTTTTATCCCTTTATACCTGTAGGATTTATAAAGCATCTCTGAAGTGATCACTTAAAAATGTTAAGATTTGAGTGGGGTTGTTATCCTGTTTAAAGTTTTGGAAATGTATGAAGGGATGGAGTTGTCATTCATTAAGCTCCTCATGATTAGGAAATATACAAGGCACAGCTTTAAAAGTTGGTGCAGGAAATGAGAGCTTACATCAGTGGTCCTTAGACCTTGTGCATGTTGTAGCCAGCTAGGCTAACCCTTTCTCCCCCTCAGGAACCTCTGGGGGGTGGCTCCAAGAACCGTGGTTTAAGCATTCCAGGTGGTCTGTTCTGCGGAGCATGGGAACCAGGGCGTAGTGAAGCTGCGGGAGCTCGGTTCTGGTGTGTGCGGGCTTGTCACTGTCAGCATGCGTGTGACTGTGCTGTGCATTCCAGGTGCAGAGTGGGGTGGCAGGGCCGGTACTGCGACGAGTGCATCAGGTACCCAGGCTGTCTGCATGGCACCTGCCGGCAGCCCTGGCAGTGCAACTGCCAGGAAGGCTGGGGCGGCCTCTTCTGCAACCAGGGTAAGCGCCTCTCCCTCCACAGCAGCCCTGGGCTGAAAAATAGACTCTTCCTGCCTATTGACCTTGAGTTTCCTGTCTTTCTCCTCTTTCTGTCTCCACCCTGGGCAGACCTAAACTACTGCACACATCACAAACCCTGCAGGAATGGTGCCACCTGCACTAACACAGGCCAGGGGAGCTATACGTGCTCCTGTAGGCCCGGATACACTGGTGCTAACTGTGAGCTGGAAGTCGATGAGTGTGCCCCCAGCCCCTGTAGGAATGGAGGGAGTTGCACGGTGAGTTAGTCGCATGAAGCCAGGACTTGCTGTTAAATAGAGTGTGTATGTTTCTTGGAGCATCTTTGGAAAGCTGTTTGCTCTCTCTTTGTGTAGGATCTTGAGGACAGCTATTCCTGCACCTGTCCACCTGGCTTCTACGGCAAGGTCTGTGAGCTGAGCGCCATGACCTGTGCAGATGGCCCCTGCTTCAATGGGGGGCGATGCTCCGACAACCCAGACGGAGGCTATGCCTGCCGCTGCCCCGCGGGCTTCTCCGGCTTCAACTGTGAGAAGAAGATGGATCTCTGCAGCTCCTCTCCCTGCTCCAACGGTGAGGGGTGGGGTGGTTGCTCATGGTCAGCGGCACACATCCTCTCCCAGCCGCTGGGTTCCTGGATTCCACCACCCGTGCAGTCAGAACTCTCAGTGAGGCTTTATGATTGAGTCTGGAAGATTGTGGGTGGTCAGGAGCATTTGTCCTCAGGCTCATTCTGTAGGGATGTCCCCGGCCAAAAGGACGCACTTGCTCAGGGTCAGCGCCAGTCAGGATGGGGACTGGCTATGGAGCTGCAGGCTCTCCTCAGAAGTGTGTGTAGCCATAGTGCTTTTGGAGGGAAGCCTACCTCTGCCCTGTCACGCAGCAGCATGGGATGTCATGAGCTATGAACTGCTTGCTGGCATGTGATGGCATGGACTTTCCAAATCGGACTCAATGGATGGCCCTCCTTCCCTGCGTCCCCTACCCCCCTTCTTCCTCCATCCTTCCTATCTTCCTGCCTGCCTTCCTAGCTTCTTTGCTCCCTTCATTCTTTTCCTCCTCATTCCTGTCTTTTATTACTACTTTTCCTCCTCTCTTACATCCTTATTTTCAGTCCCGATCTTACTAATAAAGTAGCTGCAGGCAAAACACTTCTTTAAGCCTCAGTCTCCGTGCCTGAAACCTAATCTGGTTGGTAGCCAGGCAAACTGCTTTTTGTGGTGCCTGTCAGAGCACACTGACGGGCCTGGGTGCTGGTGCTCACACACAAAATGCTAGCTCCTCATGAGACTAAGATCTGACAATCCTAGCTCAAACCCAAGAGGCGTCAGCCTTGAGCCAAAAAAGGTAAGAAGAGTGTGAGGCCCTGAGTTCAGATCAAGTGTATGTGCGTGCGCATGTGCACACACACACAGGTCAAAAGATGTTAGCTTCTAATATGTGGGGCTAGAATTGGACTCTTCCTCACCGATTGATTTAGTCCTCGGCTGTAGCTCTCAGCCATGCTCCATGCAGGCCCCAGGCTGACTTTAGCAGACTTGTTGGCACAGCTTGGATATGTCTGGGGAGTGGAAGCGTGCCTGCACTCACATGTGTGACTGCTCCTGACCTGTGTTTTAGGTGCCACCTGTGTGGACCTTGGCAGTGCCTACTTGTGTCGCTGCCAGGCTGGCTTCTCCGGGAGACACTGTGAGGACAACGTGGACGACTGTGCCTCCTCCCCCTGTGCGAATGGGGGCACCTGCAGGGACGGTGTGAACGAGTTCTTCTGTACCTGCCCGCCCGGCTACACAGGCAGGAACTGCAGCACCCCTGTCAGCAGGTGTGAGCACGCTCCCTGCCACAATGGGGCCACCTGCCACCAGCGGGGCCAGCGCTATGTGTGCGAGTGTGCCCAGGGGTACGGGGGCCCCAACTGCCAGTTCTTGCTCCCTGAGCCTCCGCCGGGCCCCGTGGTGGTGGACCTCACGGAGAAGTTTGTGGAAGGCCAGGGCGGGCCGCTCCCCTGGGTGGCTGTGTGTGCAGGGGCAGTGCTCGTCCTGCTGCTGCTGCTAGGCTGTGCTACCACCGTGGTCTGCGTCCGGCTGAGGCTGCCAAAACACCGACCGCCGGCGGACCCCTGCCGGGGGGAGACCGAAACCATGAATAACCTGGCCAACCGCCAGCGTGAGAAGGACGTCTCGGTCAGTGTCATCGGGGCCACACAGATCAAGAACACCAACAAGAAGGCGGACCTCCAGGGGGACCAGGGAGCCGGCAAGGGTGGCTTCAAGGCCCGGTACTCAGCGGTGGACTATAACCTTGTGCAGGACATCAAGGGCGATGAAGCCGCGATCAGGGATGCACACAGCAAGCGGGACACCAAGTGCCAGCTGCAGGGCTCTGCAGGGGAGAAGTGCACCCCAACAATCAGGGGGTGCGTGCTGTAGGCCGGGCTGGAGGTGGGAAGGCCGCTCTGCTCTGGTCAGGTCCCTGTTTACCGTGGTTCTGTGTTGTTTCTTTCAGTGGGGAAGCACCTGAGAGAACAAGGCCTGAGTCTGTCTACTCCACTTCAAAGGACACCAAGTACCAGTCGGTGTACGTCATATCTGAAGAGAAGGACGAGTGCGTCATAGCAACTGAGGTCAGTGTGTGTGGTGCTCAGGCAGGGGTGGGCTGATGGGGAAGGTCCCTGGCCATCTCAGCTGACGTCCTGTTCTGTCTCCTCGGCCCCTCCAGGTGTAAGATGGAAGTGATAGAGCAAAGTTCCCATTTCTCTTAAAATAAATAAAATTCCAAGGATATAGCCCCAACGAATGCTGCTGAAAGAGGAAAGGGAGACCCCAGGGACTGCTGCTGAGAAACAGGTTCAGGCCGAGCTGGTTCTCCTCCTGGAGTTGGCAGAGCCGCCCAACACTGCCGGGCCCGTGGCTCTGGATGCCGTTGCCCAGCCTGCTGGATGTTCCGTTGCACTATGAACAGTTGCTTTTCAGAGTATATATTTAAACGGACGGACTTAATATGCATAGGAAGCATGCACTGCCCATGTGTCTATCTTGGAGTTTTATGAGCCAGTCTTTTCTTGAACTAGAAACACAACTGCCTTTATTGTCCTTTTTGATACCGAAATGTGTTTTTTTCTAGATGGAAAAAACGTGTGTTATTTTTTAGACTTGTAAAAATATTTTTCACAATATCTGTAAAGCTCGAGTATTTTGTGATGTTCGTTTTTTATAATTTAAATTTTGGTAAATATGTACAAAGGCACTTCGGGTCTATGTGACTATATTTTTTGTATATAAATGTATTTATGAAATATTGTGCAAATGTTATTTGAGTTTTTTACTGTTTTGCTAATGAAGAAATTCCTTTTAAAAATATTTTTCCAAAATAAATATTATGAATGACAACCGGCAGACACGGCCCCTTGCATTTGCATTCCCTCTCCCCATGTTTTCCGGCACACCCATTTCTAGAGACCCTGGGAACAGGCTTGCTGGTCTCGACGGCCTTTGAGACTTCCGGTGTGTTTTCCCTGGGTCATGTGCTCTGTCTTGCTGAGCTTCCCACCTTTGTCTTGTTGGCACCTTTGAGAAGCTTCTCTGAAACCGCCAGCCATGCTTCCCAATTACATGTTTAAGTGGTACTGAGAAAGTTCAGAGTTGGCTTTCTCTGAACCTGATTGATGAGTGATTGGTTAATATACTGGGACAAAGCCTGGTCTGGTGTTACTTGTCCACAAGACATTTCTGTATTTATGGGACAAAGTCTTTTTCTCTCAAGAGATTGTTTATTCCTTTGTGAATTTGTTTCTAGTTAATTCAAAAAGTTAGTTGCTTTCTCATTCAAGCATGTTGTGATGAGGTAGATAATCACTATCAATTTGCTCTTAAGGATTGAGTGCCTCTTGTGTACCAGGCCCCATTAACTGTGTTCTGTGAGTTACCTCACCAGTGGTGGAAACAAGCTTGGGGAGAAGGTAGAGTTATTTATTGGGTTCAGGTTTACCACTGGCCGCATCAACATTAAGATCCAAGCACTGCAGCTAACCATACACAGTTCAATTATTCTTCACTTGTCAGAAACTTAGTTTCCTGTTGCCAACAAGATCTGGGGGATTCAGACCACCCTGCAAGTTGCTGGTTCGAAGGGATTGGAGCAGTAGTGAGCTCTGTTAGATGGCAAGTACATATTGGGAAAACGGGGCTTATTTCTGGGGGTCTAAGGGGACAAGCAGTGGGAAAAAGACTCCTTGGCTTGATTAGTAAAGGAAAAAGGCAAGGCCATGAACAACAGGTTTGATGTTTGCATGACTGCAACAAGGCCCAGCATCTTTGAAGCAAGAGAGGGACTAAGCAGCACTGAGAAGCCTAAATCTTTGTTTCCAACACAACCCAACTCTGCCCTTCCCTGATGGCTCAGGTTTTTATTTTGGAGTAGTACTTAATGGCAAGGATTCCTAGTGACTTAGTTTCACTTTCCTCGAGAAACAGTGTTAGGATTCATCCTCAACCTCTCCCTGGCTTATTGAGGGGTATCGCCATGTGCTCCAGAGTCCTAAGGTGGCTTTTGGGGGTTTGCTGTGTCTAGGGACTAGTGAAAGGCACTGTGATGAGACATGAACCGCCCCATGTTCACTTCCATGAAATGTCAGATTGAGTAATGAGGAAGCTGGTTCTCTGTGTTCAGGATATATAACATGCAAGGTTCTTATGAAACCTGTTCCATCAAAGTCTTCAAACCACTGAAACATAGCCTTCTTGTAAACTCAGGGACTGATTCATCTTTCATCTAGAGCCAGGTGAGTGACCTACTCAAGGAGAAAGCTGATGACTAAAAGTTTGGGCTGTGCATCCCAGCGCAAATTGCAGGTAGACTTTCAGATTTCAGGTTATGCTACTTGCATAGTAAAATCAGGTACACTGATTGGTTAAAAAACAGCCAAATTAAAACACAGGCATGTGTGGGCCAATGGTGGGTGACTCACCACACCAAATGGCACCCAGACACCATGAAGCTCTTGTTATTCCCGCCAAGGCCCGTGCTGCTTCCCTTCCAAGTACACCAGAAGGTGCAAGGAGAGGAGCAGCAAATGCACTCGAAACAAGATAGCCACAGGAGATTCATTCACAGTAGCAATGTTCAGGCATTCCACAGAGTGTGGCCAAAGACCCAGGCTAGCCCAAGGTGGCTGGCATGGAGGCCTCTTTTTTTCTCTCAAATCCCACAGCCAGTGTCTCTGGACCTTAGCCCACAGAGCAGTGGGGAGCAAGCATCCTGAGACCCCTTTTCCTTTCATAGTCATTTGAAAGTAATGTTGTACTTCCAGAAACAACGCAAGAACTGCAGAGAATCTCACTGAAGACCTTGTCTAAAGTTGCAAAACTCACCTCACCACCCTCCCATTTTATTTTGACTTTATTGTTGGTGGTGGGTCTTGAACTCTGGACCTGGGCGCTGTCCCTCAGCTCTTCAGTTCAAGGTGAGTGCTCTACCACTTGAGCCACAGCGCCACTTTGGTTTTCTGGTGGTTAATTGGAGATAAGAGTCTCGTGGACTTTTCTGCCCAGGCTGGCTTTGAACTGCTATCCTCAGATCTCAGCCTCCTGAGTGGGTAGGATGACAGGCGTGAGCCGCCGGCGCCCGCCACCTTCCACATTTATCAGGACTTTAGGGTGAGGGTGAACACTCATGTCTTGGCTCACTTACAGCCATGTAGACTTTTAATGTTTTAATGTCACAGCTGGATCAGCAGAAATGAGCTTGGCCCTCTTGGAGTGGCTGACTGGCAGGCCCCTGGCCTCTTCAGTGCTGCCTTGGTCACAGGTAATAGAATTCTCCCTGGAAATTTTTCCTCTTCCAGTATCCTGGTCCCTTTTTGTGGGGAATGGCAGTAATGGCGTTTGTGCATGGGAGGCTCAAAGCCACACCAAGGATGTGACTGGAGGGCCTACACAAAGACTGCTGCAGGTCTGCACAGGGGTACTTCCTGCTGTGAACTGATGAAGATGCATTCAGTACCAAGCCAGCCACAAAATACTGTGGCCCACCCCACGCTGAACTTGCCTGAGTACAGAACTTAGTCTTTTACCAGCCTGAGGCCCAGAGAGGCGGAAAGGCCTAAGAACACCCCAAGGGCACCGAGGGTCTACCCTCGGAAGTCGGCAGATTCGAGGTGACCCAGACCTATCACAGACTGCAGTGTCTGTGCCCGTTTCAAATTCAAATATTTTAATTAACAATTTAAATTTCAAATTTAAGTATTTTCCTGGACACTTAATTTGTTTTCATGAATTTTATTTTTATCGTTAAGCAGTTGTACAAAGGCATTGTCAGTCGATAAAGCAGTACAGGAAATCACTGACTCTTGATCATGGTCACCCTTTCATTATTCTCCCCTTAAATGATTTCAAAGTGATCCTGCTCAGTGTTGTAGGTGTGATACAAAAGTGCTTGGGAGTTTGCAGACAGAACAACAGGATCTGGAGGATTCACCTCAAGTCCTCTACCCTGCGGTCCCTGTGCTCTGAGGTAAGGTCAGAAGGATCCTAATGAGCCCAAGATGGCCCAGGTGGGTAATGGCGCTTGAAGATTAGGTCCATTGTTCCTCCCTCTTCTGTGTGTTTCGAGCTTTTAAAGCAGAAGCACTGTGATGGACCATCCTTTGTACAGGTGCTCATAGGTGTATGGATGTGACCTGCTGGTCAGTGGCCTTCTGTTGAATGACCTGGGCATGATGGTATTTAGGGGAGACTTCCTGTTTTGTTGTTGTTGTTGTTTGGTGTGTGTGTGTGTGCGCGCTCACGCACACGCGCGAGCGCCAGTCCTGGGGATTGAACTCAGGGCCTGGTCACTGTCCCTGAGCTTTTTTTGTTCTCAAGGTTACCACTCTTACTACTCAAGTTACAGCTTCACTTCCAGCTTTTTGTTGGTGATTGGAGAGAAGAGTCTCCTGTGATTCTCATATCTCTGCCTAACTAGGGTTGCAGGTGGGAGCCACCAGGGCCCAGCTTGAGGTCTCCTGTCTTCACACGCGTATTTTTCAGAGGATACATCTTCTGAGATCCCAGCTAAGGTGCAGGGGTGGGTGGGTGGGGGCAAAACTATGGTGTCTGTGTTCTGTGTGCTAGCTCCTCCGCTGTGGTCTGGGCCACCCCTAGGCTCTGCTGTCTTCTTGTGTCTCCAGCATGGCTTCACACAGGAGGCACTAGTTAATACTTGTTCTCTGGATTATTGGTGGACAAACAGGAAAGAGACTTCCTTCTTGGTCACCTGACTATCTTCCAGAGTTCTAAAAGACTGTAACTGGGTTTAGCCCATAGGAACAGGTGGTACATGATGGGAGAAAACAATCTGAATATTATTAGATACCCATGGAGATCAGCAGGCAGAACAGTCTCCAAGACGGGTGTCTCAACCCCAGAACCCATGACAGCGTCAGTCACTCCTTGTAGCAGTGGGATGTTTTGGACATGATTAAATTAGGGACCTGGATGTGAAAGATCTTGGGTCAGTGGGCAGCTTAATGTAGTCATGAGGGCTTCTGAGGAAAAGATGTAGGCATGAGGGCCAGTCAGAGAGAGGAGGCCAACCAGCAGGTTCAGAAGCTGGGGAGTCAGACTAGGGTTAGAGAGTGTGGGGCTCTGAAAGTGGAAGGAAGCCATGAACCATAGACCGTGACCTCCCAGAGCTGGACAGACACAGGCAACTATCCCTGCAGCTCCCAGGAGGAATCTGACCACTGAGCCTTATGACCCCTAGACTCCAGCCCAGTGAGCTCTGGGCTCCATGCTATTACAGTTGCTTCAGAGCTTAGGTAAAGAGCAATGACTCCAGAGGGAGTGTGCCCGCATGAAGGATCCAGAGGCCTACCCCAAGCCAGAGGCCTGCTCAGTGAGGCTTTATTTTTTGGGACTTAAAGACACCTGTTCCAGATAGCTGTGAAGGTGGAGGAGGAGCAAGCAGCCTTGGGGAGCCTTCCTGCAGAGCCTCGGGTCTCTGCGGAGTGCGCCCAGCGAAGGCAGGGGCCTGCCACAAGAGCTAGGCTGGCATCAGCAGGGGACGGGTTGGCCGTAAACCTACCTCCTGGGCCCTTTTGTCTCAGAGTACAATTGGGTGCAGTCAACTGTGTGTTCAGAACCCGGGGCTCCTCTCCAGGAAAATGTGCAGGTCTTTGCACAATGCCAGAGAATGTCACAATGGGAATAAATAACAGGTGCCAGGAGCAGCTGCTGCGGATCTGTGACTCTTCTTCTTTCAAATTATTTTCTGTAGAGAACCAAGGCCCTGGGATGCGCAGGGCTGTCTCCTGACGGCCCTGTTGCAGCAGCTTGGCTAGGAGATGGGAAGTGGCAGGCCGGAGGGAAGCTTCAGTCACTAAACTGCAGCTGCTTTGAAGAAGCATTCGGGTCTCCAC